AAATTAAAATATCAAAACATACATTTTGTGACATTTACATCGCGTGGTACACACATACGCGTTTCAAACTCACTTTACCAATGTTGATACGAGATTTTAATAAAAACCAAATACTGCTATAATAAAACTCATAATATTTCTGTAAAACCGAATAAATAGAAATAAATAATAGTTATATAATATAGAAATATTGTCTTTGTATATAATATCATTATATAATTAATATATAATGTAATCGTGTGTGTACCAATTATAATACTATCATCGCGAGTAGATGAAATAATATTTAAATGTTTCAATTTAATTTTAACGTACAGCCATGTAATACATAATATCGTAATCAGAGATGATTTTTTTTTTAGCAACGCATATTAATTGATTTATTGCTTTCACGTCATATCGAGCGAGCTGCAGGTATTATGGACTGCCGACTTAACCAATCTACACGAATGGCACAGCCTTTCGTTTTCTACTCGGTATAATAATATATTATAATAATTTCCAGTTCCTACCTATGAATGGAATCACAATATAATTGTATTTTAATCTGCATTATGCGTGTGCGCGTCACACTGGACCGGACGAAAGGGAATAAGAAAAATCGGTCCATTCTCGGGAAGAGAACATTTTTTTCTCTCTTACGCGTGACATTATAATAACAATAATACCTACGTATTATGTTCTACATAATATTTTGTGTGCACAGTACATAATAATAAAATATGTATTAAATAATAATATTAGATCCTTGGCCGACGACACACACGCGTACTATGTAGAAAACTCTCGGTGTGTGCTGTGCTCTATTGTTGTGCCGTTGCGTCCGTTTCGGTTCCGTGGGAGAGCGACTTGTTGCTCAGCCGTATACCATAATACACCTGTATGATAATGGTAGGTAGGTGGATACAGCTTGTAGCGGCAACGCGCTTTTTATTATTCGTGGACGGCCGCGGTGACGTAACGACAGCGCGAATGCGATTGCAACAATGGTCGGGTTTGTAATAATAATAATGTACCTACATAGTTTTTCGAACTGAGAAGGAAACACAGATCACGAGTGTATTATTATATTATTATTATAGACACCCATTTATATAGATATACATAATCCCATGTATAGCGTATAATAATATATTATAATATGGGCACAAGCAGCCACCGGGCGGGGAGGAGAGAAATCGAAATTTAAAAAAAAAACTTACGTCCGTAATTAATAAACGAAAACTTCTAGCGTGCCGTACAGATTAACTAGACGGTCATGCAAAGTGAATATGTGACAACGTAAATAGAGCATGGGCGACCGACATATATATTATAATATATATTATTGTAAGTAGGTACCTATAGTGATTATAATAAGCGTCGTGCGCGCATGTGTATTCATTTATCAGGGAATTGTATAACAGGTGTCGGTGGCGCAACCGCGGGGAGGTGGTCTCCTAGTCTCCATCCCTCCCCCACGCGGCCATTAGGCTACATTCAAGTATTCTTATCAAGTGATACATTTTTTGATTCGAAATTGGTCTAGATAAAAATCGTGACATAATAATATTATAAACTATTTATATGTCGTACAGGAGATAGGTTGGTAAAAAATAAAAACAAACATTTTGGACCCCACCCACATTACCCTCTAGCTATAGTCTTGACTGCGATGCAGTGAATATCTAAACAAGGGTAACAGCTAAAATTTTAACCATAGAGAGGGAATTTAATTATAATATGTTATATTATAATATAACATTATACTATTTTAGACTTCTGTATTATGTGTATATTTTATTACAAACTTCGTATAAAAAAATAACAATTATAATATATTTACTGTACCTATATATCCATATTGTACAATGAGACTGTGAGAGCTTTAGTGATTTTGTTTTAGATTTTTTAATTTGTATTATTAAATTATTATTATCTTTATTGATAAAAAAAATACTCTTAAAACTTGAAAGTTTTTATGCAAAGTATACCCTATTAGCACTAAAGATATGGAGATGAGGAGCATGGCTTCTTCTGCCCTCCCCCCCCCCCGCAGACGCCCTTGGGAATAATACTGTTATGACATGTATTTATAGTTTACTTTTATACCGCTCTATGTATTGTATTGTGTGTATAGTAAGTTGCCACCGTAAAATTACAGGCGGTGAACTGGATGACTTTCTGGACCAATATAAAAGTATAATCGCTGAACACAGTACACTATAGTGGTTCGCAAACTATTAAATGTGGAGCCCTAGTGTTCAGGTAGACTGCTAGAGCAATCTATGGGGCTATACGACACAAAGGTTGAATATATAAAAAATATAAATAATTTGAGCCAAAATTAGTAGAAAATAAGATCCAGAGATGTTAAAAAGAAATATAATTTGTACCAATATAAAAATGTATAAATTATTAAAAAAAATTGAAATTCGTCAAAAATGTATTATAAATTTATAACATTTATACATAATATATTTAATACATATTTGTCTTCATTAAAAAAAAAACGAATAAAACTCCTTAGTACGCAATTGTTTTTGTAAAATTAATTGCGACTATAATGACTATGGTGTAGCTTACTAAGTACCTACCTTCTAACAATATATCACATATTATATACCTACATAAGTACATTACAAACAATGTCATAATGCAAAAACTCTGAAGCTCCATCATGATCATATATTCATTTGTCGAATGAGATTATACGTTCATTTGGTGCTTTTTAACGACATACCAGCTGTAGTTCTAAATTTAATATCTGGCATGAAGCACACGCAGGTGTCGGAGATTTTGGCGCTTACATCTTCCACTGGACCTAACGCTCCGTGGACACGTCCAAATGCACTATTATTAATTGAATTGCAATTTTATCATCATGATTTCTAATTTTATTTCTACTTATAGGTAATTGATATTCATAATGTCGGGGGCACCGTATACTAAATCGTCTGAGAACCGCTTCGAGATGCACGCACACATAAACATAGAGTGTAGCTATATAATAATAGCAGAATATTTCGCAACGTCTTTATCGGCAGCGAGAGTTTCACAACCGGTCGAAAATCGGGACATTGAGAAAATTCTAATTAACAATATTGTATCGCTGGTTATCATCAACACGAGAGATAAACGTACATAGATACGCATTATACAGCATGTACATCTCGATTTCTCACGCTACCGCGGTCGTACGTTACAATAATATGTAATATAAATTACTATTATTATTAATATTATTATATTCATTAACTTCACTTGTTCGCAGATCTAGATACTACTACAATGGATCGTATTTAAATGTGTATTATTTTTTTATTTTTCGCCACTCTGTTCACCACATGACATTGAAAATTCGACGTTTCGCCCGACGGGTTCACGAATCGTACGAAACTTTTGCGTAATGGTTTGTGACTCGTCTTTATTATTTCCATATTAATCGTAACGCTATAATACGCGAGTTTAACGGTAGTACGATAATAATAATATTATTGTATAGATGTTAGTTAGATGTGATTGAACCCACTCGAGCGATTTTTATCCGTCTTTGATGATCGATGAGATCTTCCGTGATGACGTCAGCTCCTGCTTGGGTGTAAAGAACCGAACGCTGAATATACAAGTAGTAGTAATAGTAATTCACCAGGCAAGCTTACACCAGTATATTCGAATTTTGTTTTTTTTTTAATTTTTTAATAACATTTCTGAAAAAATACTATATTTTCAAATATGGGTACTCAGAATATTGTCTGGTTTAATGAGTGCCAAGAGGTGATACTTCGTATTATTTTTCAAACTTCGAACCAACCTATCTATAGGTACCTACAATAAACTGATTAGCGTATGAATAATTCTTTTGAAAATGTTTATCCATTTAAATCGAAAATCGAACGGTTCGATTGTTTTTGAATGAATTATTAAACCTTGTATACTAAGGATTATATAGTCCCCAAAAATAGTTTTAAACAAATATAAATAATTTAATCTAGTAATCATTATGCTCGGGCATTTTACAAAATGTTGAATGTTAATAGATCAACATGAAATACTAAAATTTTCAAATCAGCATACTTCGTTCAAGTATTTTAAAAACCTTTAACCTTTGGTTTACACAACTACGTTTAAGAACTTAAAATCGATTAAATTTCAATTTCAATTTCAATTTACAACATTTTCAAAAAAGTCATCTGCTTAAAAAACAATCTTAATATTTGAAAACATGGTTTTCAATGGTATATATTTTAAACATTTTGAAAATCAGAGTTTCAATAAGCTTCTTATTAAACGGAAAATAGAGGTGAGCATGCTAAGACCTAAGCCCATATAAATATTATTATGCTAGTTTAAGACTACTAACGAATAGTATACGCGTAATTGTATTGCAACAATCAGTACACGCATCGGTGTAAATGTTAAATTTTTATTTGACATTCCTTTACACATTTGCATTTGAGTTTTTACGTTTAATACAATGTACATACAATATGCAAATGATAAAATATAATATCAATATTTATATTATGGCACGTTACTGTTTACAGGTAATATGAATGGTGGGCAACAAAACAATAAAACTAAATAACAAGGTAGCATTCTATTTTACTTTAGCCTTCTATAATAAACTATCCAACATTCCAACCCAATTCGTTAAACACAAATAACGTATAATGATTTCAACGTTTTTTTCAAACGTATTTCATGAATTATTTGTATTATTTTTTTCCGTCTTTTATAAGAATTCGTGTGAATGATTATTTTTTTACCAATAGTCGATTTTTCTTTAACCTGTATTTACTGGGATAATATAATAATATGTACCTAACAAAAATATAAACGTGACCAGTAACCCGATAAACCGATTTGACTGCGTCGAATTTTCAAAGTACCCTCCTCAAGAGAAGGTATATTTATATTACATTATTACCCGTGTACCTATGCATACTTTGGAAACGGGTGGTTAAATTATTTTCATAGTACATACAATATTATCGTGTCAGTAATAATAATATATTTACCTGCTGGAGGTCTGTCCTTGGGATAACATATTCTAAAAAGACCCTTCGTTCTTGTAAAATAGAAATATTTGTTCATTTGTTCTAGTACTGAAGTTTGACTACGCTGGTTAACGGCATTCTGAAAACACATAATAGATACAAATTAAAACACTGTGTTAAGGTTGTACGCTTTAAAATCGCACGGGTTCTGTTTGTTCGTAACATCATCATCATCATCACAATCTCAAAATTAACATTTTTAAAATATCATAATACACACACAGTAAAGTAGTGCTGGTGGTTTTTATTTTAATTGGAAATTACTTTACTGTTGTTCTCCAAACCATAAATTTCAAAACTACACGGTTCAATCATTGCGCATACATCGCATTTGTTTTATGTAGACACTGGAATTAATGATATATCATGTAGGTATAGTATCGGCCAGTAGATCAAATTCACGGACCAGTAAAGTATTGCAATTCGCAGTGAGATGTATTCATCGTATAATCATTACACCTATTTTATAATCACATTGTATTTTTAAAAAACAATAAAATAACCGTATTATTATCGTACACGTTTCAGACGACCTTCGAACACACAAACTAATTTACAAAAGTATTCAGCTTTGACGGTTAGTATTATACGTTCTAAATACCTTTTCTGAAAACATTAAGTATAGAAAGTTTATCTACTTATTCAAAGACGATTAAAACGATTATTATATTATTATTGTTTTCAATTCGAAATACCACTATACATAACCTTAAAGTGCTCGACAGCAGATCGAGGGGATACTTATCGATCAATTAACTCCATAATAATAAAATAGTAATATATTATAGGCTGTGCGCTTGCATTTGATTATTCGCACATTATCTTGCCGATTTCTCATTTTCTAGAAATGGGTTTCGTACGTAATTAATTATTATTATTCGATGAAATCGACCCACTTTATCATATATTTTTTTCCATCTTTTTTACATTTATTGTCATTTGGCTTTGTGTCGCTGTCAACTCCACGTCTTTATTATTATTTTGCAGACCATATCATGGGTTTCTTCGGATTTTAAAATCTACTCATATATTTTGTATAATACAATAGAGGGGACTGCAATTCCATGGTACAGCGACCTCGACTGGCATACAACTACAAAATAATATATTTGAAACTGCGCTGAATATTCAGTGTTTTTTTTTTACTATTTTTCGGTAGCGCTTCGAATCGCACTATACTCGAGGTGGTCGCGACCAATCGGAAAACAATCTACATGTGACATACAAATAACGAAAATAACAATACAGATCAGTGATATAAATAGAGAAATTTATAGATTTGACTTTATGGATCGGCGGAGGAGGGGTGTTTAATGTAAACAAACATAACAGACATCCACCGAAATTGTTGGCTGAGTTTTTTTTTCTATAGTTATCATTTTTTACAAATATTTGGTGGTCTGTACCTATATATAGTTGTAATGCTTTGATTTATATTTTGTATTATATCTACTTATGCCAATATCATAGTACAAATATATTGTAAAGTAGTATTATTAATCTTTTTGAGGATAAGGGGTTATGTTCACTGAAAAATAAATAGCTATAATTTTCAACATAAGACTTCTAAAAAGTAAAACACCCCCAGAAACTTGAGATATGGATAGACTTTTATTGTACACGTCGTGATATTTAAAAGTATGTATACCTTCCACCTCGTGTGTCCGATATAAATAAGCTGAAATTAGTACACGTCCTATTAATCTCCTAAAATAATATGGGTATTGGGTGTGTTCTACCGACAAATAATTGCAATATTGTATTAATCAAAAATATATTGTGACAGTGTTGTGAAAATCACGACGGTGATGTGAAAATTATTGTAAAATATGATATTCGACGTCGTTGCCCACAAAAACAAAAAACTGTCTACAACGAAACAGTTAAGTCATACTATTGCTTGCGTAATAATCTTCGACGAAAAATATATTATTATTTTGAACTATAATTATTGTTTATTGTTTTCAAGTATAGTATGCAGTATTTAAAATAATACGGTCACTGGCACGGGATCATTTTAACATTAAACGGATGGTTTCTACGAACTTTGATTTTTTATATGCAAAAAAAAATTTTAATGCGAACTGCGAATTGTACACTTTTTTTACTCCGAATCCACGGATATTATACGTTTTATTACACATATCAGAATAGTTCACTTATTAGATTTTTTAACGAAATCATTGTGACTCGATGGTGATTCACGATTATTTTTAGATTTAACATTAATGCAATCCGTTGTTAGAACTCTGTGTCGTTAATTCAACGTAACGAACTACGCCATCTTGTCGCATGAAATATCGATATTTGTCATCACGATCTCAACAATACTACTGATTTTTGTAGTGAACTCATGATTTATTTGGTTTACGAACAATTCACGTTGTCAGAGCTATTCAACATAGTCTTGACTATAATATTGTAATTATGCGATGAATATTAAATTGATAAATTCGATAACACATATAATAATATGATATTATTTAGTTAATCTATAACTCTTTATGTTCGAGGTCAAAAACTAATGTCGTATGACGCATTGACGATACGAAACGAAGGAACCCACAAGTCTCCTGTGAAACATCTATACATGTGCACGCAGAAATATAACTCTACAATAAATATATTATTTGAATTTGATTATCAAATGACGAATATAATTTATCATACGCATCCTCCTAAGCGTAAGATCGATCGAAAGTCGAATGTATAATATGAAATACATTAATATTTATACTACTAGCTGTACCCATAACCCGACTTCAATCGGGAAAAAATTAACAAAATCTAAAATATGGAGCTATATAGGTGTAACTAGGTTTTAGTGTTAGTACCTCATCGGTTCACCGGAAAATAGGCGTCGATGTACCTAGTTTTGTTAACTGATATTCGACCGAGAATCGAGATGGGCAATCCATCTGTGACGGATTATAATAAAGCACCTCCTCCATATAACCTATTGTATACGTTTTTATTACAGATTGTAATAATAAAAAAAATTACTTTCTACACTTTTCCGATATTTCTAAGGAAATACTCTGAAATTGTCGTCAAAGTCGATCGAGCAGTTTTTAAGTGTATACATCCATTTATAAATCTATAATATATAAAGATACATGAAATTCTCTTTAATTTTTATAGGCAATGGCAATCGTATGTAAAAACATTTAGTATTCTATTTTCGTGAGCCAAAATGAAATTAATTTGTGAGCCACTTTTTAAGAGACCTGTATGATGGGTTGAAAAACAAAACTATAAACACTCACTGAATCTCAAGAAACATGTGTACAAAATTTGGTGCCTTTTGATGCAAATCACCGGATACTAAAAAACGCACAATCATTTTTGTGTAATATAAACAAACATGATGCAATCCTTGTCACTTAGCTCCAAATCGAGGCCCTGTGTGTTGTCAAACCTATTTAATAGATGGGTACGTTTATAGTAGGTACTAAAATACTGCAAGCGCGTAGCGTTTTAACGGTTATAATAATTTATTTACCAATAGGTAATACAATTTTTTTATTTACGATAATATTCGTCTTTGTCCGTTGTAAATACACCATTATCTTAAATATTAGTTGAGCTGAATTGTATATTCACAGTTTAGTCGAGTGGTACATACAACACCATTAAATTGTGGTCAGTAGAATAGAAAAGGGAGCAATTGAACCTTAGTAGAATTTTTCTAGGGCCTGAACATTTTGGCGGACAGCGTGTTAACCAAAATTGTTATTATATTAGATATTTTAAGAAACAACCTGCAATAATAAGATTATAACGTATTTTAACAGTAAACCAATATAACTAGTTTTGCAGTTTTGCTAGTCTAGCAGAGTTCCAAAAACGAACTCCAAGAATCTGGATTTTATTCAGTTTCGAGATTATTTGAAAGACTTGCTAGAAAATGCATCGACAAAATCAGTGTCAGATGTGCGCGAACTCACGAGAGATCATTATAATTTTCCTGACTTGAGTACATATATATTATGTAAAATACATAGATATATACACAGGCGAACAATGAATAACACATTATCGACGGCAGTAGGCACCCATATATACCTACAACTATTATGGTCTGCGATGACTATGAGCAGACCGTCAAATGAGGCGATTCTAGTACAATATAATACGCCTATAATATACCAATAAATAATAATATTATAACAATAAATAACACGAAATTTCAACATTGGACCGTTCGTCGAGTTTCCGGTGTCGGAGTGTCGTCGTTGTAGTCGTCGTCTTAGTGTTTCCGGTACGATAGGTTCGTCTGTGCAGTATACAGTAGTAGCAGTACACCGCTGCAAGACGCGCTAAAAAACTATCAATACTACATAATAATATAATGCTCGACCGTACCCATGGTATTGGTAGGTACCTGTCTATACCACCTACCTATGCACTCGAGAACTCCACCGCCACCGCCACCGCCGCCGCCGCAACAGCAGTCGTCGATGGCTCAACGACCTCGTATAGAATTCTAAGCGGCCCCCGACGCGAGTGGTGCCGACGGAATACGTTATGCGCTCTAAAGAATGCGCGTCGACGCGCTATTGTAAACGACAATATAATATGAATTATAATAATATTCTTAGGTATCTATATTCTATATTATACTGCAGGTATATTGGATAAAATGGACACAGGGTGTCATGAGTGGCGTCTGTACTGCCACGCGCATGTCCTCTGCGGGATTTCTAGGATTTGATAAAAAAAAAAAAGAAGTAAAATGTCAAACTTTTGATCTTTTTTACCAACCGTTCTTAATTTATTTTGATTCCGTACGCATTGGAGTGGAGAAAAATACTTTGGAAAATGGTCGAAATCCATAATAATTTTATGTTATAGTGTTACACTCGTACGTCCAATAACCGTCAATATATATACCGATCGACTATATAATAGTTTTTTTTTTATTTATAAACAAAGTTTAGACGACAGCAGTCCTGACACTTCGATTTTCTTATCTAAACTTTGAGTATCTGTAATAAATCAAACTATTGTGTCATAAGAAAATTAGTTTTTTATCAAAAGCGTCACGTTTCCAATTACTAATAAAACTATACGTAAGCG